CTTTATGCACACACAGAAACACATGCCCACAGATACACCCACAGATATCATACCAACCAACATTTCAAATGGACAAAGAGGGACACATTAATTATAGGGTTGATGGTAATAGTGTGGCTGATCTGGGAATTTTAAGCGATTTCCTAATAAAAAAATATTAGGTAAATGGGTAACTAACAATGATTGTGGATTTTGGCTTAGAAGTGATAGATGAATGTGGAGATAATTATGCACAGTGAGCTAGAAATAAAACTCATATTAAACCATAGAAAAAGAAGTGTAATGAGACCTTTCTATGTAATAAAAGTTGCAATATAAGTGACCATCTCCACTCTTCCCAGCACAGATTCATTTGTAATTTCACTGTGTTGGTGTTGTCATACTGCCACCTAGTGGGGAATATTCAGTTGCAAGGAAGAAGCGTTTTATATTAGACATGAAAGTTTTTTTTTTAAATCTGTCTTTTACTATGAATCTTAATTCTTTAATCCCAGATGTTGCAATCAATTGTACTAACTGTAGTCGTCGTACAAATTTAATTTTAAAATACGGTTATCAGATCATTAAAGACGATTCAGTTAAAACATCTATGTTTTTATCTTGCAGTCAGCATCTCGCCGCGTGGGTCTGTCCTGTGCCAATTGTCATACGACCACCACTACGCTTTGGCGTCGAAATGCGGAGGGTGAACCAGTCTGTAATGCTTGTGGACTCTACATGAAGCTGCACGGGGTATAAATATTTCTTCTATTTTGATAAAGAAAAAAAATATATAGCTTTAAAGAACAAAAATAACCAGTCTCATTAAAAAAGATAAATGCTGATGGTGTTTGTGAGGAATCGTGTTGATGATCTAAAAGTACTTTTTTATTTTATAGACCTTTTTGAGAATCATTGTATCATTGTATTTACTTACAGGTTCCAAGACCATTAGCAATGAAAAAAGAAGGCATTCAGACTAGAAAACGTAAGCCAAAGAATCTCAGCAAGTCCAAAACGTCAACAGGTAGGAATTCGGTATTATGTTTAGCATAGCCTGAATTTGGAAAAAATAAAACTAGCTTTGCTGTTTTAGAATGTTTGTTTTAAAGGGACACTATAGTCACCTGAACAACTTCAGCTTAATGAGGTTGTTCAGGTGAGAACTATAGCTCCCTGCAGCCTTTCTTACTTTCTGAGCTAGGAACACCTCCAGTTGCAGTCACTCAGAGTGAACCAGAGGGACTTCGGAGTTGATGGAGGCATAATATGCCTCCATCCACTCAGATCTGCTGTCAGCAGAGCACAGGGCAGCACTGTGCACAGCATCCTGTGATTCAGTATCTCCTCCCTCACTGAACTTTCCTCATAGAGATTCATTGATTCAATTCATCTCTATGAGGAGATCCTGATTGGCCAGGGCTGTGTTTGAATCATGCTGGCTCTGCCCCGATCTGCCTCTTTGTCAGTCTCAGCCAATCCTATGGGGAAGCACTGTGATTGGATCAGGCTACCACATGTCAGCAGACTGCTTGTTTTTCTGAGTCTAACAGCATGCAAATTTACAACTTCAGGCTTGAATACAGTAAGATTTTTACTATATTTATGGAGGCATGAGGGGCACAGGGGGGCTAGATGGTGGTGTTAACACTATAGGGTCAGGAATACATGTTTGTGTTCCTGACCCTATAGTGATCCTTTAAGTTTATTCTATGTATCTCTCCCCTGGAGGTTTAATATGGCCAAACTAGGCCCTAGTTGAAGTGCACAGACTATTAATTTTCAGTTAATTACCTTAATTATAATGTGTTGTTCTTGGTAAACAATCCTATAGGAACGCCACAGGCACTGTAACAACTTCAATTAAGTGATTGTGGTTCCCAAATTTCCCAGCGCATTATCTTCAAATGATCTTCAAATGATTTGATACTAAAATATAATCTCCAAGATGACAGTCCAGATTATTGTGTGGAACTGGTCAGTAAATGCAGAAGAATTTAGTTGAAGAACAGTCAGCTGATGCTCTCAGACTCTCAATGGTCACCCACAGTAAGTAATGTTTTAGAATCATACGTATATTTTTGAAGCATTACTTACTATGGGTGGCCAATGACGGGCTGAAGATGAGCAGTTCCAACGAGGAAGCCAGACCGGACACCTGGGGGACTCCTCTTCAGTCTTATTATTATTGACATTTATAGCGTGCCAACTTATTCCACAGCTCTTTGCAATATTATAAAAGGGGGAAATTTAACAATCAATGAGACCATTACAAAATGTTACAGGAAAAATATGTAGATGAGGACCCTGCTCAAATGAGCTCACTTTTGGAGAAGTTTCAACATTTAAAGGTTAGATGGCTCCGGGGGAATCTAGGCACCATGGCAATGTCATTGAAATTAAGAGTTTTGGTGCCCGCGGTGTTCCTTTAAAAAAATAAACAAAAAAACACTAAGACGAAGCAAAAATGGAATAGGAGTTGTTAAATGTATTATCATAGCGGTAATAACATTTGGAAAATGGTTTCTATAAGTTCATAGGCTGTCCCCTATGTTAAAGAATTTTAATTAACGCGCCCTTACACCTTTTTGGGCATCTTTGGCTTTTGCTCAGAATTTCCACCGAATGTTGTCCTTGGTTTTCATTTTGTCCTATTCTCCATCCCCAGGACTAAATGGCAGCGATAACCTCACTCCTTCAACCGGCTCCGCCAACTCCAGCGCAAATGAAGAGATGCGCCCCATAAAGATTGAACCTGACTTGTCCCCTCCTTATGGCCATTCCCTGTCTCTGGCTCAGGTACGGGGCTTCAACATTCAGTAGCAAATTCTATGTGTTCCTTTGTATTGGGCCCATGATAAATAAAGATAACATAGGCTTCTCCTTCATAAGTGGACATTCCTTCGCTCTGGTACAATCTATTACAGATTATCTCAGATTTGTTACAGTATTACATACACTATTAATAAATAAAATACAGGAATATCCTCTTCTTATGGACATACCTTTCTGTAGCTCAGATACAGGGCGTACATATTCTGTAGTTTAGTACCATTCTGTTATATAATTTATAAATAAATATAACAGGCCTTGCACATTCCGTGTATAATGGGGCATGGAACAGATTTTCTCAGCAATTGCATTGGATAAAAGTAAGGGAAGTAACATTGTGACTGAATTATCCAACATCTGCCAATAAGAAGTGTTAAATTAACTGGGTTTTGAGAGCATTGGAAGCAATGTTTAGAGCTATTGCTGCTTACCTGAGAGAGATGAACAGTTCTATGAGAGATAGTGCTAACAGCCAACCCTCAGTATGTCCACTGCTCATTTATAAAAGGAATTTGATTTTGAAACTGATACATGGAAGAAAGAGTCTTTTCTAATTTAGTTTCTTAAATTATTTCTGCTGTTCGAATGCTTGGTGAAAAAGGGTTAGACTTTGTCAGAAGGTAAACCGTCTGTGCTCTTTGAGGGTACTTTGACGGTTCTATAGAGACCACTTTTAGCGACTGCACATGCATAACAGACCTTTAATTATTCTGTGAAGGTTAGGGTCTCAATTTTAAAAACAGATGATTCATAGCATTATTACTATTATTTTTTTTTTTTTAATGCGTATGTGTCAACGTATGGTGGGCTATTTTTTTGGGGGTGGGGGGAGTTTTTTCTTCTTTACAATCTTTCATGTGCTATTTTTATACTATGTATACTATTCATTTTATATTTTAGGCATCCTCTTTGTCTGCAATTACAAGTCACGGATCATCTATGCATCCCATGACAGGTCTAAAACTGTCCCCACAAAACCACCACTCTCCACAAACGAGCTCCAAGCATGACTCCTGGAATAACTTGGTTCTGGCATAGGCTGCTACTAAACAGCCAACGCATTTCACCTCCCACTCAACCTGAAGACTAGAACCCAAGTTTGATTCAGTTCTACAAGACAGACTTCTAACCTTACGAAAGAAGAAAAAAAAAAATTGCAATCTCTCCAGGACATGAGTTATTCAATTTTAAAGTACAGAATTAGCAATGTAATTTAAAACCTGTTGTTCTAGGAACTGACTGTTTATACACAAGACTATTGTGGGAAAGATGAAAAGGATGTGTGGCTATATCGAACATTTATGCTGCACAATGAAATTTCATTCTTGTCCACAGCCTTGCCAATCATATTTCTCAGTGACCAAGGTATCCATCAGTTTGCTTGTGAAAAGTGGGAATTAAAATATAAAAAAGCTTGATGATCCATTGGAAAACATAAGGAAACATTTAGGCAGCCCCATCGGATACCTTCAGCTGAAGACACAGAAGCCAAGAAAAAACTTTGTATAAAGAATCGAAATGTTTGATTTTGGACAGGACACAGAGAGGAAGCTAGTGTGGACCGTCATGGCTGAGCTGTGTATTGTAGTTATAATTATTCTCTGCTTATTACAAGATGTTTTATGGGTTTCCTGGTCTCAGACTTAAAAAATGTGTTCATATATTATTAAGGAGGGAAAAATAGAATACAAACACAATTAAGACTCGACTTAATTACTGTTGATTCTCTATGCACAATTTGCCCTTTAACTCCTATTTGTTGGTTAAAACGCTGTAGGAATAATTGAATAGAGCTCGTAAAAAGTAGAACAGGTGTTGTAGAACTGCACGTCTGGTGAAGAATCTACCTTCTGACCACACTGGTCTACACTATGTCTTTGAGTCTCATAAAAAAAAAAAAAAACACCTGTCCTTTAGTGAACCGGTAAAGTAAAACATTTCAGCTAATTGTAGGCATAACATCTTTTGGAAATGGTTGGAAAGGATATGTATATTATTAAATATTATATATTTATTTCAGAATAGAAAAAAAGACTTTACAATCCCAAAATAAAAAAATATAATAAAATAATAAACTTAATAATAAAATGCATAACTATAGACCTGGCCTTTAGATGTCTTGCCTATTGGTGACTCAGCAAGCCACAAATATAAATCATATGTAATGTGCTCATTCTTCAAATCATATACAATTTGGTTATTTCTTCCTTTCTAATCCTTAGATTTCTTCCTAACACACTCTAAACAGGCTTCCTATTTACATACCTTATTCATCTTTATATTGTACACTCCGTATACCCTTATTTTTATCAACCTCTTTCTTAAGCAAACACTCCGGGCATTAACCTAGAGTAAGCGCATTGATGTTTTAAACCACATTCAATTTTTTCAGTTTAGCTTAGTCCAGTTTTTTTACTTTCTGCAGTCTATTCCTGTCCCACAGCTACGCCTTCCCTCTTGACAAAACATCTTCCTGATTAGAAGGTGAATAGTGAGAGATCCGTGTGAGCTGAAGTACAGATTTGGATGCACCCCACAGCCAGCCACTGTCCTTGTGATCTGCATAATTAAATTTTTTTTTTCATAGTCGTGGTAAGGGGAAAGCGGGCAGATTGTACGTGGACAGCGATTGGCTGTGGGATAGGAATATCGACCACTTATATTACACAGATCTTTCATTGGCTGAATTGAGTACGTCTTAGAGTACATCTAATAAGGAAAATGCTTTTGGAAAAGAAGAGGCATGGCTAGAGAGACGGGGTTGTGCTACAGACATTTTTTGTTTTTTCTTTTTCCTCCGAGATTTCAATGTGGAGAAAATACAGCATGAATATGAGGCCAAAATCTGGGTTGGTGTCTAGAGTTCCCTTTTAACGTGAATCTAAATTCTTTGCTCCGGGACATCCCTCAGAAGCATTACTAGCCCTCCCATTCTGTCTGCGTTGACCCTACTAGAGGAAGACGAAGGTAGGAGGTAGATAACAAGGATGCTCTGGACATGCGAGTGCAGTGTTTAACTATCCCGGATGACGAGCTCCAAATGACCAACACTATCACAATGTTTGAAAGAAAGAAACATAAGAATTTTTTTTTTTTTTTTGGGTGAAGAAATCATTTGTGATACAACTCTAAACGCACTTTGAGTAATATATTCCACTCTCTGCAATTGCTTTTAATTTTAGCACTCCAATATTAGTCACTTTGTTTTGCACTCCAGTGTTTTTTTTTATTAAGACATTCACTTTTTTTCCCCCACATTGCTACATCATTACTAGTTGACTGTTTTGCCCACTTAGTATATTGCTGTTCCTAGAGTTTTACGGGGAAACTAGCCCTTGCACTTCGGCACCGGACTTTCTTTCAGCCCACTTCAAATATTTAGCTCTTTGTTGGTTAGCTATCTATTCATGCAAAAAAGAAACTTGGAGACGGGTATCAGCACAATAATGCTAATTCAAAATTCTCATCAAAAACCCTGTATTAAAAATTAAACACGTCAATAAAAATTTAGATGGAGCATTGCCTTGCTACGCCATCGATTTTTATTTACAGCCTTTTTTTCCCTAACCATTTAAATCACTGCAAATAGTTTTACTATTCTAACCCATCATTGTGGAAGTTACGCATTTCATTTTTCCATTATATGCTTAATAGCAGCTCTTGATATAAAAAGCCACATAGCATTTTCCTAAATAGTAATATTCAAAATTTGCATAGATAATCAACCGTAATTAATATCAACAAACCACCAAATATTTGTGCATATTTTATTTATCCTTTTGTTTTTTTTGTTCGTTTTTGGTTTTTTTTCCCTCAAATCCAAAAGTCATTTTATAGACCAGTCCATGGATTTAAACATTTAGAGGGAGGGGGGATGTTGATTGGAGAAGTTTTTAAACCTAAAAGATATATTGTATGTTCCCATTTTATTTTGTGTTTTTTTTTTATTATTATTATTCAAAAAAAAAAGAAAAAAAAAAAGGATAAAGTACTAATTCTTAATATGAATAGAAAAATATTCACCAGTGCTTACAGAGTCTAGAAACTACTGGTAACATAGTTAATAAAATAACTAATATTCTATTGTTATGGAAGATTTTAAATAAATCCAACTGTTTTTGGATGACTGGTATGGAGGTATGGGCTGTGGGGGTATGTCCGAAATAACCTGGTGTTCTTTATCAGGTAGCAAAAATCAACATGACCGTTTATACGATTTAATATGGGGATAAGAAGTATTTTAATTCTGTTATACATAGCAGTTTTATTTATTTTTTGTTTTGATTTTGGTTTTTGTCTTGTTTTTTTTTTGATCTGGCACAACCAAGAATTTTAAGAAATTGGGACTTTTTATTTATTGTGCTGAATCCTTGCCGAAATACTAAGAGCATATTTAGAGATGGAGAAATTTACTGAAGTTATGTGGGCTTTGCCTCTTTTAAGTTTTCTAGCTCCACAAAGTCTGCATTTTGTAAAAGGCAACCATTACTGTATTCTCATTTTATACATTTCGTTTTCCCTTATATTGTTGTGTTCTGATTGGTTGTTTGGTATTTTCATCTAATAAGAGTACAAGTTGGATGCAGATTCTACTATCAGAGCAGCATATCCCTGGTAAAGTAGCTGCAATCACCCATACACTTCCATAGGAGAAATGATATTTAAATACCAGAGCCCGCATTGTTAATGTAATCCAATCGATAATGTCAAACAGTTGATTTTTATTTTTTATCAATATTTCGTTGTCTACCCAGAGAGCTCTGTTAATGTCTTTCTCAAGCACGCTGAGCTATTAGAAGTTGCCTGGCAAGTACCATTAGTTGTACATACTTTGGCTGTAATTGGACTAAATATTTAGGCATTAGTGACTCTCTCAATCTCTCTACATACAAGTATTGATGTCTATAGATGATCGGAGAGTTAAAGCTACAGTGTAAAAAGAGGGGTGACAAGTTGCACAGTTTAATTTGAGCCCCACGCTTGTCCTCGCTGACCGAATGCGCCAGAACTTCATGCAATATTTATTAAATTGCTGTTTCGATCTATCTTCCTCCTGGTTCTTTTAAATACAAGGTGTGAAAAAACAGTGAGAATTTTGCCGCAACAAAAATGCAAAACAATTTGTAATTTTGATGAAACGTTAGTGCTTTTTAAGAATTAGAAATGTTCTCCTTTGTAAATCCTCCTTATTTAAACTTGTTGCCTCCTGTGTTTTTATTGGACAGAGCGAGTATGACTGGTAAATGTAATCACTCCAGAACCGAGTGATAGAAGCCCCAACTCAGAATACTTTGCTAAATAACATGGGGGGGGGGGTGGGTGGAAGGGCTACAATACTGAATGCTGGCTGAGAGTGGGGTCAGGTCTTATTTGGGCCTCTGTCCAACTGCTAACTTAAATATGCATGCGCTGATGTGAGCTGAGAATTCCCAAGCTCTCTGGCAATCCTATCACGCTGTCACCACTGATAAATTGTATCCCTAGCAGTCCTTGCACACCACGGCCCATCCTGGAAGCATAACTGAGAATATTGGCAGGTATACAATGGGTGGGAGTTTGTCCAATGCATTCTGTGACATTTGCGATATTAAACTTACACCTAGGGCGGCTTTTGGAAGCTCCCGATTTTAAACAGCCCAGATTTGCTGTAGCACTTTCAAGCTGATCACGGAATTAAGACCGATTCCTTTCTCAGTGGATAACATTCCATAGCTTCACGGAGAACGCTTGCTACAGGCCTTCCAGACCTGGCTGTGTGAATTCTTTTTTTTAACTCCTAGTAAGTCTGGTAAAGCAGCTGTGCAGAAGGTAAGGTTGTCTATGAAATAAATAAAGCCTCAAAAACGAAATGCGAATTCTGGAGAATTAAAGGTAATGGCAAATTCTAAGATGACTTTCTGATTGGGCCCATTCCGGTGTAAAATCTACAATTCCCTCGCAAATATCCCACTTCCTGGTTTAATGAATGAACTACTTGACTTACAAGGGTTATTTACTAAGGGGAGACTTCAAAGTGAATTTGACTTTCAAGACCAGAGTAACTGAACTGAAATCAAAGCTGATTTAGAGTATTTTTCCAGATTGGTTGTTTTGACTTTCAATTTGAATTCACTTAAAAATCTCTCTTTAGTAATAGCCCTGTTAGTGACACTTCACTTGTTGACTTAACTCCGCTTGACAGCTGCTCACGTTCACTTATATCTACAGGAACATATGTGGTTTATTCTCTAAACTGAGACTTCAAAGTGAATTATTATTAATATTAGAGCCAACATATTCTGCTGAGCTGTACAAAAGGTTTTCAAGGTGAATTTCAAATTTGAAGGTCAAATTGGGAAAATAGGAGCCGACTTAGAGATTTATTTATTTTTTGCAGTTTCACTATTTTGACCTTTCATTTGAAATTCACTTTGAATTCCCACTTTAGTGAATAATGGTGATTGTAACAGCAGCAAATTGTATGTAAATTTGCAATTAACTGTGTGCCTTTGATCTCCATTCAATGTGAACTTGAGTTAATCAGTGTTGACTTTGAGTTTATAAAAAAAAAAAGCCTGAATTTGCAGTCGTACTCGACTAATTCAGATAAGAAAAATACATTCTGTGCTTTTTATTTTTTTATACAGAAGTGGAATTTCTGTAATTAAAGACATTTCCTCTTAGATATATTAGTCGCCCGAAAGAAAAAAAGTTACATTAATCAATACATTACAAAAAAAGTTTATTTTACACTGTTAACATTTATAAAATTCTCCGTACTTACCTCTTCGCAATCGTTTCCTCTTCACTTCCACTTTCCTGCTTCGTCTTTCTTTATTTCATTTTTCATCTATTTCAAACTAAAAACATAAGATCCTCCGTAGACGTCAATGCTGTATTCTCGCGCATGCGTGAGCGTACAGCAGTGACGTCTGCTCTCGGCAGCTGAACAGGACCGACGACATTGCGCATGCAAGTGACAGGTTCAGGTAAGTAGAACTGACCTTTCCGTGACCCCCAGTGGCATAGTCGTGGTCGGCAACTTTGCAAATTCTGCAAATGGTGACTGTGCTGCTTCAATTGCACTTTTTCAGCTATGCCACAAGCACACCCCAAGTGAAACAAGAGTGACTGCAGGTGGTCTGTATCCTTAAGTTTCTAAAAGTGTAAAATGGTAATAATTGATTTGGTTTTAGTACGGGAGATGGATGGAAAGTGACATGGAGTACAGACAAACTGTGGATGACAGAGTTTGGACAATCGGAGTTTGGTAAAATAAAATCAACAAAAACTAAAATTCTCCTCCTTCCCTCCATTCCCAACTATTTTCGCCTAAACATAAGATTTAAAAAAAATGGACTGTATTACTGCTTTATGGTTTAGTGAATGAAAACCTTAGTACTCTCTGTCATAAGGAAAATAAAGTAACTCAATTTGATCACCATTAAAGGACCACTATAGTGCCAGGAAAACACTATAGTTCCCTGAGGGTGCCCCCACCCTCAGGGACCCCCTCCCGCCCGGCTCTGGAAAGGGGAAAAGGGGTTAAACTTACCTTTTTCCAGCGCTGGGCAGAGAGCTCTCCTCCTCCGATCCTCCTTCTCTCTTCCCTGTCGGCTGAATGCGCACGCGCGGCAAGAGCTGCGCGCGCATTCAGCCGGTCTCATAGGAAAGCATTCATAATGCTTTCCTATGGACGCTGGCGTGCTCTCACTGTGAAAATCACAGTGAGAAGCACGCAAGCGCCTCTAGCGGCTGTCAATGAGACAGCCGCTAGAGGAAATAGGGGAAGGCTTAACCCATTCATAAACATAGCAGTTTCTCTGAAACTGCTATGTTTATGAAAAAATGGGTTAACCCTAGCTGGACCTGGCACCCAGACCACTTCATTAAGCTGAAGTGGTCTGGGTGCCCAGAGTGGTCCTTTAAATGCTGATCTTTTTATATCAATCTCTTAATACTGTAAAACTTCCATTCTGCGCTGAGGATTGGCTAGGTCACCAGTTACGCCAGCTAAAATAATCCGAACATTTTAAAGTGCAATTACTATAATGACTGATATATATGATTGATCAGAAAAATGTCTTTAATAAAGATAAATTGCAAAATTCTGTTATTGAAAGGTTAACATTAATCTGTTATTCTTAAAAAAATAAAATATAAAAACCTTTATTTCCCCCTTTCCATGGAATTTAGAAAGAAACCTGAAAAAAAGTAAGATGTTTTAGAGGTATAAAAAAAATGTAAGAATTTTGTGTAATATTGATATGTGAATACCACTTCGAAAACTTAAAAAAATAAAATAAACTGAAAAAAACCAACATTTTTTTCTTTGAAATTTTCAGTGTTTTGGTTTGTTTATATGTAAACTGGTACTTTATTGAACAATTTAATTCTTATATTCCACCAATCACGTAGTGGAGGTCCATGAGGTTTCTGGTTAGCAGGCCTCCCAACCGTCTTGGGTTCAGCAGAACAGTCACTATTTTAGGGACCTGTCCTGTCCTCCTGGTTTGCTTCCTGGTGTCCAGCTTTAGGGATAACAGAGAAATATCCTCAAAAAACATAGTGTGCATGCATTACTTGCTCATGCTACGCTAACAAATGGAATGCATTCAGCCAGGATGACCCATCCCTATTCTGGTGGGTATGCCTTCTTTGGGCGGCACCAGTGTTGTCATTTGCGTCACTGGTCCAACTCATTTTGACCAGCCCACTGATGTCCTTATTCACAGGACGCACATGTTTTGGAGGCTGGGAGGTGGGGTTAGTTAGGAAAGCACAGGTTACAGAGATTGGGTAGGAAGATACAAGGCAGACAGGAGAGGGGCGTGTCATTCAAATTCCTAGTGACTAATATTGAGGTTTTGTTAAACACAGAATTGTAGCCAATTAGAAAGTAATTTTCAAAACTGAGGCTGTAGCAGTGTTGGATAATTTGTCTCCATGGAGAAAAATGAGATAAACTGCTCGAGCCCTATACAGGGATATTCTTTCAACTCTTTGAAAAATTGCCAAAAAATGACATCTCTAGACAATGTGAAGAAAATCGTAAGGTAGATATTTGGGACATTCTGAGAAAATCATTCAGTTGAATTCTGGAGAACTAAATGTCTGTCATTCAGTAGATATCAAGGCAATTCGGAGGATATATCGTGCAGATGGTCCATTTTCCAAACTTTGTCTCAGTTGATACAAATTAATTTCATTTTGGAATCGATCATCCAGAGTTCACCGTCTTCTTGAACTATTTAACCTGAATTAAAGGAACAATATAGGGTCAGTAAGACAAATATGTATTCCTGACCCTATAGTGTTAAAAACACCATCTAGCCCCTCTAAACCTCCTTTACCCCCCCCAAAATATAATGCAATCTTATCTTGCCCCCGATCTGCCTGCTTGGCTGACATCATCAGAAGTGTTGTTCTTAGCCAATCACAATTCTTTCCTATAGGATTGGCTGAGACTGTCAAGGAGGCAGATCAGGACTAATGATATCACTGTAACGAGAATATACCCCTACACGCAGGATCCAGCTAAACAGAAGCCAATACAGAGGAGAGATACGTCTACCGGACCTTAGAATGGCCGGACTCGACGTATATGAGAGGAGACAGAGCCAGGAACAAACCGAGGTCAAGGGCACAGAGAGACAGCGTAAACTAGGACAAGCCGGGGTCTGGTACACGGAAAACAGCAAGCCGGCAAACAGTACAGATAAGGATAAAGCGAAAACGAAGTCAGAATACGAAGCCAAAGTCAATACGAGAAAACACAACTGAACACCACAAGCGCTAAAGGGAACTGAAACAGAAACCACGATAGGGCAACGAGCTAAGGGAAAAAGGTAAGTTTAAATAGCTTTTAAACGAAAGTGATTGGCTCCTGTCACTTCCACACCCCCAAAAGGTAATTGTATAGGGAGTGTGGTATGACAGGAGCCAATGGGAGCCTTTTGGCAATTAGGCTCCCACTGTCTCTTTAAGAGCGCGCCCGAGACTCGCGGCGCGCTCTTAGTTTCAGGCGGGACACGTGACCGCTTCACGCGGTCACTGCCCGCCTTCCATCTAAAGCAGTCGGATGAGCCGCGCGCGGCTCGTGCAGCCGCAGGACCGCGCGTGGCTTGAAGAGAGGACCGCGACCGGCCCCCGGTTAAGGTAAGTAACGCTACAATCACACTGTGATGATAGTGGGGAATTTGATTAACATTATTTCCCATTGGGTCAAAATAGTTTATTAAAGGGACACTATAGTCACCAGAACAACTACAGTGGCCACTCCTCAGATGCCTACTAGAGGTGCTTCCTGGGGCAGTAGATATCAAGATATTCAACCCTTTGTCTCTGCATGGAGACACTGAACTTTTCTCATAGAGATGCATTGATTCAATGCATCTATATGAGGAGATGCGGATGGGCTGTGTTTGACTTGTGCTGTCTCTGCCCTTGATATGACAGTCCCAGCAAATCCTATGGGAAAGCATTGTGATTGGCCCAGAGAATGACTTCTAATGATAAAGCAGATCAGGGGCAGAGACAGCAGCTGCAGATTTGAATACAAGTAAGATTTTACTATATAGGGGGGCTAGATTGTGGTTTTGACACTACAGGTTCAGGAATGTTTGTGTACCTGACTCTATAGTGTTTCTTTAAAAACACTGCAAGATTTAGACTAGAAGAGCTGTTTTTTGAATTAAGTTATTTTACCTAATGTCTATTTTTAGTTTACAAAATACCAGAATTGCTGTTTAGTTAATAAATATAATTGGAGAATATGTATCAATGCAGGCCTCCCAACAGTCCTTCTTTTAGCGGGATGGTCCCAATCTTGGGCTACTGTCCTTCACTCACACTGTAGTACCCTTGCTGAAGCCCCGGATGTGGGGTTCTTTAACCCTGGATCTCTACAGTTGGTGGAGGAGGCAGGGGGATATTAATGTTTTTTTTTATTTTGAATTTTAGTTTAGGCAGCTGCTACACAAAGCAACCGCCTATTGCAAAAAAAGACCAACAGTACAGTACACTGCTCCATCTGCGCTCTGCAGACAGGGCCGGACTGGGGATTCCAAAGCACCCCTAGAAAAAAAAGCTTGATGATCTCAACCGTAGAGGCAGGGCCAGTCGAAGGGAGACCAGCACGATGTGGGGGGGAAAAAAGGTGAGTAAAAACACACACACATACCATGACAGACACACACCATGACACAGACAGACCGTGACACAGACACACACACACCGTGACACAGACAGAAACACACACACACACTGTAACACAGACACCATGATGCAGACAGACACACACACACCATGACAGAGACACACACATACCATGACAGACACACACACACCATAACACAGACAGACCGTGACAGACACACACACACCGTGACACAGACACACATTACATGACACAGACAGATACACACACCATGACACAGACACACACACCACGACACAGAGAGACCGTGACACAGACACACATTACTTGACACAGACAGACACACACACCATGACATACAGACAGACACACACACCATGACACAGACAGACACACATTACATGACACAGATGCACACACACCATGACAGACAGAGACACACACACACACACAATGACACAGACAAACATTGAATGACAGACAGACGCACACAGCATGACAGAGACACACACACTGCATGACACAGACACACCCCCTGCAGGCTTTTCAATGTAAACACTGACGTTTTAGAGAAAAGGCAGTGTTTACATTGCTTCCTAGTGACAGACACTCAGACGGTCACTAGAGGTGCTTCCTGTGTCAGTGCAGATTGGCTGAGATCATCAAACTTGATGATCTCAGCCGTAGAGGCAGGGCCAGTCGAGGGGAGACCAGCACGATGTGGGGGGGGGGGAAAAGGTGAGTAAAAAGACACACACACATACCATGACAGACACACACCATGACACAGACAGACCTGACACAGACACACACACACACACCGTGACACAGACTGACACACACACACACACCATGACAGAGACACACACATACCATGACAGACCGTGACACAGACACACACACATTACATGACACAGACAGACACACACCATGACACAGAGAGACAGTGACACAGACACACACCATGACGCAGACAGACACACATTACATGAGAGAGACAGACACACACCATGACATACAGACACACACACACACACCATGACAGACAGACCGTGACACAGACAGACACACATAACATGACAGACACACACACATTGCATGACACAGACAGACACACACACCATGACACACACACACACCACGACACAGAGAGACCGTGACACAGACACACATTACATGACACGGACAGACACACACACACACATAATTTTTACCTGTGTGCTGGCGGCCGCAGAGGGAGCTCTTCTGGTGGCCGCAGGGGGAGCTGGCTGTTCTGTCTCTGCTCCCACTCCCCAGCGCCCAGCTTAATGAGACCGGGGCCGGAATATGATGTCATAGTCCGGCCCCAGTCTCTTTGTAGCGCGCTGGGGAGGGGGAGCAGAGACAGAACAGCCAGCTCCCCCTGCAGCCACCAGAAGAGCTCCCTCTGCGGCCGCAGGTCAGCCGGCTGCCTGCCCGGCCCCAGGTGCCAACGGCCCACCAGGAAATTTCCCGGTATCCCAGTGGGCCAGTCCGGCCCTGTCCGCAGAGTGATGCTGGGAGCCGGAATATGACATCATATTCCGGCTCGCGGGATCACTCTGCGGCGCGCAAGGGAGCTGAGCAGAGAGCTCAGGGAAAAGTGCTCCCTCGCCAGCGCCGCCCGCCCAGCTTGTCAGTTACCCGCAAGGATAACAAGACATTTGCCCTAGGCATTTGGGGGCTGATTTTTTGCAGCCCCCTGGAAAATGCCGCCCAAGATGCCGCCTTGTTTGCTAATACGTCCCTGCATATGGGGGCATGTATACTAAACAATAAAAAGTAGTCACTGGGCAGCCATTGCCGGTGGTTAGAGGCCCAAATACTTATAACAAGGGGAGACCTATTGTCCCACCTCCCCCCTGGGCCCCACTGATGCCGTTGGGTGAGGCCCTTAATATTTATAACCTGGCCATCAGGTTAGGGCTCTAAGATTAACAATAAGGAGGTTACATTTGTCCCCTCCCATGGCCCCCACTCATCCCGGCTGGTGGGGGCCCTAATATTCCCAATAAGGGGGAAACTTATTGTGCTGTCCGCACCAATGCCGTA